AAGCCACTTTGAAGATATCAATATGTAATACAACCACCATTGTTAATTCCCTACCACTTTGTTTGTAACTCTGTGTTGTCTGTATTGTGCTTTTGATATGTTTTAAAATGTTGTATGTCTGTTAATGTTTCCCTCCTTTTATCTTTAAAATAAAAAATAAAAATAAAAATAAATAAAATTTAAAAAATTAAAAAAAATTTTAAAAAGTGTCCTCCACGTTCCTGGAACACAATTTAGGCAACAGTTGCCACTGTGATGGTCCCAGGTGTTATCTGTAGCAAAGGTGAATAAAAGTATACTGCTTAGTGGCTTCATCTCTAAACTTGGTGATAAAAGCAAGTCACTAAAAGCAAGTGAAACTAGAAGGTTTATTCAGGTTTTCCCTTAGTTTCACCAAATATTTTAAGGGTTAGCCTGTTGGCCTTTTAGGCATGGCAGTCTTTTGGTTGTCAGCAGAAATGTCAGAGTTAGCAAAAGAAATTAGATTTTAGACACTGTGGCCCAGTTGGTATTTCTTATTAAGCCCTGACTCATTTAGACAAAAAGAAATAATAACGGCTATAATAGTCTTCATTGTCATCATCATAATGTATTTTTAATATGATCCTTAGTTGCAAATTGAAGCTGAGTTCCCACTTACTTCCTGCGGAAGGACTTCCTAAACACTTGCCTTTTGCATATTAACACAGCCCTGTGTACCCAGCCATCCTCACTGCTCAGTGATCATAATACCACTGCAATGTGCTACCTCATTATTGCCAGACAGCTCTGAATCACAGCTTCCACCCATGAGGAAGCATCGATGAAATGAATTAATTTATCTCTAAATATCACCTCTTGTTTAAAGGCCATGAGTCTTTTGCCATTTGCTTAATAGATTGTCTTTGGCTACTGAATTTTTAAAACTGCTTTTAAGACTAGCTAAGTATATAATACTCCATGTAAAACTGTCTAAGCCTTCTAAGCGTTTGTCTTTCTTTCAGTTCCCATTAAGGAAATATGTTAAGCATCTTGATAAAGACCACTCTGGTCTTAGAAGGCAGATGCCTGTGTAGATTGTTACCAATCCTTTGCCTCATAGGGTTTCTGTAGGGAGTAATGTCAGCAGTGTAGAGAACTGACACATACAGTAGGCTCCCAATGAACATTAGTCCCATTCCTCTGGGGTTGTCAGACTTAGCAAAAAAATTTTAAAATTATGGAGTGCCCAGTTAACTTTGAATGTGAGGTAGTCAAAGAAGAATTTTTTAGTGTAAGCATGCCCCAAATATTGCACTGGACATACTTATGCTTAAAAAGTTTTTCATTGCTAACCTGATATTCACAGGTAATGGTACATCCTTTATTTCAGGATTTGGCAAACCTAATCCCTTTCCTACTTTCCAGCTCCTAATCTCCTTTTACAAGAAACAAAATTTCCCCATGATTTCTCTAAAAATTTCGGTTAAGAAAATTTTGCAGGAACCACAGGGAACCTTTCCTTTTTTTTTTTTTCATAGATCATAACAATTTCTACTAGGCAGGAATTAAACTTTTTTAAAACACTGCAAATACAAAGCCTTTCCACAACATGTAGTTCATTGCCTAGCACAAAATGGTGTTCAGCATATCTATCAGTCAAATAAATTAATGAATGAATAAATGCTTAGGTAGTTCTGATCTCTAAGTGCTATAGGTATTGAGAAATGCATAATCTGATTTCAGCTATTACAATCAATTTCTGTTAGGTGAGATCAGAGAAGAAAAATATATAAGCAGGAGTTTAGTGGGATGAAAATGACCTCCCTCCACAAATCCACATTGTCAATTCTAGGACCTGCACATGTACTACTTTATGTGGAAAAAGGAACTTTTTGGATGTGATTAAGATAAGGATCTTGAGCCAGGGATATAGCTCAGCAGCACAGCGCCTGCCTGGCAAGCATGAGGTTGTGAGTTCAATGCCTGGTACCAAAAAGTAAATAAATAAATAAATAAATAAATAAATAAATAAATAAATAAATAAGGATCTTGAGATATTGAGATTACCTTGGGTTATCTAGGTTGGCCTAATATAATCACAAGGGCCCTTTTAGGAAGGAGGTATAGAGTCAAGAAATATGTGTGATGATGAAATGAGGGAGAGAGATTGGAAAATGTTACACTAGTGATTTTCACCATGAATGATGTGGCCAAAGGTCTAGAAGCTGAAAAAGCCAATGAAATAGCCTCTTCTCTAGGGCTTCCAGAGGGAATGGGGCCTCCTATTCTGACCTCCAAAATTTAGAGGCAACAAATTTGTTTTAAGCCATTAAACTGTGTTATAGCCGGGTGTGGTGTCACACGCATATAATCCCAGCTCTCAAGAGGCTGAGGAAGGAGGATCATTGTGAATTCGAGACCAGTCTGAGCTACAAAGTGAGCGCAAGCCCAGCCTGAACTGCATAGCGAGACTCTGTCTCAAAAATAAATACATGCATACATACATACATACATACATAAATAAACAAGCTTGTGTTATAGCAGCAATTGGAAAATAATACAAGGGGGACATAATGAGAAAGAAGTTTTGGTGAGGTAGGAACATGCCTACCTGGGAAAATGCTCACAGATTTACTTGGGACACAGATTTACTTGGGACCAGTAGCAAAGACAAGGAGAAAAGATGGCTAGAAACTGGCAAATGGGCAGATAAAAAAGGTTAAAGGACATAGAAACTGGCAGATTCCCAAGAACTGATAGTGGACATATGCATTTGCTAGGGTTACTGTAATAAAGTACTTACTACACGCTAGGAGCTTAAACAGTGGAAATTTATTTTCTCACAGTTCTGGAGGTTAGAATTCCAAAGTCACAGTTAGATTCTGAAGCTTTTCTCCTTAGCTTGTACGTCCCCAAACATTCTCTTCTCTGTGTGAAAAGATGACTCCCTATATCCCTAAGTTTCCTCTTCTTTCAAGGACACCGGGCAGATTGTATTAGAGCAGACCCTAATAACCTTATTTTATTTTAACTTTATCATTTCTTTAAGGGGCTATCTCCCAAAACAATCACTTTCTGAGGTACTGGGAGTTTAGAATTTCAACAGATGAACAGGAATTGGAGGACACATAATTCAGCCTCCAACAATGGGGTGGATAAAGCAGGGGAGGGTCTGGATAATAACTTGTTAGACCCCCAGATAGGAGACACAACAATATGACAATTCATTGCAACACAAAATGATCCAGGACTGAATATCAGACAGGAGACAGGACTTTTGGGCAATAATTCGACTAAGGTCTGTAGATTAGGTAATAGTACTACATCTGTACTTATTTCCTTGTTGTGTACTATGGTTATGTAAGATGTTAATATTTGAAGAAGCTTGAGTGAAGAGTATACAAGAACTCTTTGTACAATTTTTGCAACGTTTTTCTAAGACTGGGAGTATTTCAAATTAAAAGAAACAACTGGGTGTCACTTGGAGGGCTGTAATTGCAAGGTTTGGGAGGCTGAGGCACGAGAACTGCTGAGAGTTCGAGCTAGCCTGGGCTACATAGTGAGCTCAAAAACATAACAAGGCCCTGTTTCAAATCAACAACAAAACTCAACAACAAAAGGAAAAGCTAGAAATGTAAGAATTAAGTAAGATGGGGATGGGGAGAGGCTGAGTTAAATGTCACTGTGAAGAAACAACAACAAAGAAAAAAAAGTAAGGAGAATATAAGCTCCATGAGGTCATAGGTTTTCCCCATTATCCCTGAACCCCTGTGTCTGGGACCTCAGCATTTGCTTTGGGAGGCATTGATCGCTGAGGCACAAGTGGAAGAGAAGGCAGTAAGCACAGCTGGGCATCTCATATTCATGAAAAGCCTGAGTTTAACTTCTGACATTCTCCAAATGAAGTGCCACTATCAGTGTGCTGCATATCTTGAAAGAGTGTGTTCTTTGCGTG